AATAAAACACAACTCTTTACTGTTATAAATGTGAAGTAAAAGTAAATAATGAAAGGAAGGAAGTCTCTTAAAATTTATTACATTCCAAAGCTTGAAGTTTTGGGTTTATTGGTAAAGTCTCTTCTGATGTTCTACAGTGCTCCTGCAATAGCTCTTTTAATGAAGTCCCATAAAATTTAATATAATACTTGATTGTTGACAAATCATATATACATACGAGGCCCAGGATTCACTGTATCCAGACATTTCTTACATAATTCTATTAAATTTACAAGTTTGACATTTCCACAGTTGTGCATATTAGCATGAGTGATGACAAGCTGGCAGATTCGGATGCAAAGAATAAAGTCAAAATGAAGAGCTATTTAAATACCAAAAAGAGGCACTGAAATAACTTTAATAGACTGAAATGCTGACGAAAGCCAGGGAGCATAGAATCATACATAACTCACTGCTTCCTGCCTACCTGGCTATATACAGCGATGAACGGAGTCACATCGCAGACTACTGAAGAGTGAAGGGATATCACAGTGGCAAGCAGTGAGCATGCATGAATTACCCAGTGCAATGAATGGGAAACATACTTGGATTGCCTTCTGCCCTGAAGGAATAGTCGCTTTCCAATGGACATGGATAGTCTCTCACCAGGCTGTGGTAACTGGAAATCATTGTTCTTACAGCAAACAATGATCATCCAAACTAACTAGCATTAAGCTATAACAATGCATGTGACTTATCCCAGCAGAGGAATGGAAACACTTCATGGGTAGGGGCATCATTTAGAATGTGGCAATTCCAGAAGTTTGATATATGCCACTCTTGCTGAGGATAATCCCCATGGAGCAGGTCCTCAAGGAATCAATTCTGAAGCACTTAGAGGAGAGGAAAGTGATCAGGAACAGTCAGCATGGATTCACCAAGGGAAAGTCATGCTTGACGAATCTAATTGCCTTCTATGACGAGATAACTGGCTCTGTGGATGAGGGGAAAGCAGTGGATGTGTTGTTCCTTGACTTTAGCAAAGCTTTTGACATGGTCTCCCACAGTATTCTTGCCAGCAAGTTAAAGAAGTATGGGCTGGATGAATGGACTATAAGGTGGATAGAAAGTTGGCTAGATTGTCGGGCTCAACGGGTAGTGATCAATGGCTCCATGTCTAGTTGGCAGCTGGTATCAAGTGGAGTGCCCCAAGGGCCGGTCCTCAGGCCGGTTTTGTTCATTATCTCCATAAATGATCTGGAGGATGGTGTGGATTGCACCCTCAGCAAGTTTGCAGATTACACTAAACTGGGAGGAGAGGTAGATACGCTGGAGAGTAGGGATAGGATACAGAGGGACCTAGACAAATTAGAGGATTGGGCCAAAAGAAATCTGATGAGGTTCAACAAGGACAAGTGCAGAGTCCTGCACTTAGGACAGAAGAATCCCAGGCACCGCTACAGACTAGGGACCGAATGGCTCGGCAGCAGTTCTGCAAAAAAGGACCTAGGGGTTACAGTGGATGAGAAGCTGGATATGAATCAACAGTGTGTCCTTGTTGCCAAGAAGGCCAATGGCATTTTGGGATGTATAGGTAGGGGCATTGCCAGCAAATCAAGGGATGCGATCGTTCCCCTCTATTCGACATTGGTGAGGCCTCATCTGGAGTACTGTGTCCAGTTTTGGGCCCCACACTACAAGAAGGAAGTGGAAAAATTGGAAAGAGTCCAGTGGAGGGCAACAAAAATGATTAGGGGACTGGAACACATGACTTATGAGGAGAGGCTGAGGGAACTGGGATTGTTTAGTCTGCGGAAGAGAAGAATGAGAGGGGATTTCATAGCTGCTTTCAACTACCTGAAAGGGGGTTCCAAAGAGGATGGCTCTAGACTGTTCTCAGTGGTAGCTGATGACAGAACAAGGAGTAATGGTCTCAAGTTGCCGTGGGGGAGGTTTAGGTTGGATATTATGAAAAACTTTTTCACTAGGAAGGTGGTGAAACACTGGAATGCGTTACCTAGGGAGGTGGTGGAATCTCCTTCCTTAGATATTTTTAAGGTCAGGCTTGACAAAGCCCTGGCTGGGATGATTTAGTTGGGGATTTGTCCTGATTTGAGCAGGGGGTTGGACTAGATGACCTCCTGAGGTCCCTTCCAACCCTGATATTCTATGATTCTATGATTTGCAAGGCTACTGCCATGGAACCCCTAGGGGTGAGAACAGATGTTTTTAGTTATGCTTCCACTTCCTTTCATTTAGTGACTTTAAAGTGACTCAGGCTAGCAAAATTCTGAACTTTTTTCCCCCTGAAATTTTGCTTCTGTCTTTTCTGTCTCTTGGCTGTTTGGAGGTCTGTGTGAAATAGATTCTGGGGTCTCATCCACAACACAAAGGCCAACACCTCTCTTAGAACTAGTTGGCAGACAGCAGGCAGGCTTAGCACTGAACTATGCAGGGTGAATACAAATGACTTCTTCCATGTCGAGTTATTCTTACCAGGAATGCTTGAAATATGCTGGTGATGAGTAAGGATGGATGCATGGTGTTGGGAGGCTTGAACACGTTCTCCAGATTCCTCCTATCTCTGTTTATTGCTCTGTGATTGGAACAGCTGTGCCATATTAGTGCAGGATATCAAAAAGATGGATATTCTGCATATCAAAATTACATGAATATGACTTATCTAGACAAACAGCTACCAACACGATGCTCACCTTCCTGTGTGTCAGGACTCAAAACACTGCTTCTTTATAGGCCTCAAAGCCCCACAGCCAGAAGTCATGTTGTTTCAGTGTTGTGGACAAATTACATATTTGACATGTAGGTAGTTGTATATCCAATCTGGATAGCAGACCTTCACCACAGCAGCCAAGCTACAGTTATACATTTTTATTTTGATCTGAGGATCTGGACTGGTGAGGATTAACTGAGTAAGTGATAGGCTAATGCTGGGAGTGAGGGTACATGGCAGTAGGGTGTTTGCTCTTCTAGTTCCCGCTCTAAATGATTCACAGTCAAGCCTTATCATCAACCAGGAAAATTCACTCACACATTCAATGACTACTATAAAAATGAAATAGGGCTTCCCTTTAGTGAAAAATTAGTCACAGTCTATGATCATCCTGCTGAAAATTGCAGGATGATAACTTAAATGATAACTTAACGTTATCAGCAAAGAGAATCCACCTTTCCACAACAAACTGGGTCAAAGCAAGGTATTTCAGCATCACTGTGATGCCAATCATCTCTGCAACGAAGGCAAGAGCCCTCCATGTGAATGCCTAGTATTCTATTAAATGGACAGACTCACATCACAGGACACATGACTATCCTTTGAGTGAAATATAAGGTACTCCTTTTTCAGTCTGAAATTTTTGAAGTTTTTCAAAATGCTCCAAGCAGGTCCTATGGGAGAAAATCTTGAAAATGTTACACTGCCACTTTTCTATGAGCTGCAACACTAGCCTGCATTTTGGTCACCATGCAATAACAATTATGCTTCAAACAGGTGAATGACAAGGCGAAGCATGGCAGAATATTCACTTGTTATATATAATACTGAAAAGCTATAGAGAAATCCTTACTTGAGTTTACTTCTCCCGAACCACAAAAGAACCAGATTACATTCTGAACTACCCTGCACATCAATTTCGTATTCAACTGCACACTAAGACAGGATTTTATTTAGGTCATTAAGTTAAGTGAAAGGAAGCACACTTTACAAATTATGGATCCTAATAGCCAACTGAATATTTTGAGCGTGGCTAGTAAGAGAATCTCAGATTTTTCTGTCTTCTCCCAAAAAGACACCAGTCAGACTAGAAAAAGCTTCTAGTGTACTTGCTCTACACACTTTGCCACTCATCTCCTCTTTTAGTTTCATTAATAAAGATACTCTACTATCAGGTGGCATCAATACAGTACAACATAAATTGGGCACATCTTTGGCTCAGTACATTTAAAGAACCAAACATTCAGTAGTTGAGACATTTTAAATGGAATTAAAGTATCGCACCAATACAAGAAAGGAGGCCTGTAGGGAGGAATAATAGTTTGAGAATTATTTTCACAAAACAGTCTTAGGGCAGGTCTACGCTACGGGGCTAAGTCGACCTAAGTTACGTAATCCAGATATGTGAATAACGTAGCTGGAGTCGACGTACCTTAGGTCGAATTATTGCGGTGTCTACTCCATGCTGGGTCGACAGGAGAAACTTTCCCATCAACTTACCTTATGCTTCTCATTCCAGTAGAGTATCAGAGTCGAGGGGAGAGCGATCGGCAGTTGATTTACCGGGTCTTCACTAGACCCGCTAAATCGACCCCTGGTGGATTGATCATCACAGTGTCGATCCATGGTAAGTGGCGACAAGCCCTTAGTAATGGATTATCAAGTGAGTGACCTGATTTCAAAATTATGTTAAAAACAATATAGGACACTGATTAAAATTCAGAGATCCAGTTGGAGGAAACCAGGGGAAAAGATTCATTAAGGTATCTCCAAAAATAAATGTCAGTCCTTTATTGTTCTTTTACAATGTAAGGATGGCTTGAAATTCCCTCTTCCCAAAGCACTCTGCTCCACCCCAAAAAGTCTGCTTGAATTTCGGTTTTTTTTTTAATTTTGTTTCACAGTAGATATGTCATACATGTTCTTTCTTTTCTTCCTGCAAGACTTTGTAATTTTTAGAGGATTTGGAGTCTGACATATTAACTCAGTATTTTAGTCGAAGTTGCAGCATTCCCAGCTTAAGTGTCAACTTTGCCTCCCTGTCATTCAGAGGTTGCGCAAAAAGTAACCTACGTTTCAGCCTCCTGATGTTCTTTTGGGTTCCATATCCCTCAAAGATTACTAAATTCTGTCAGGCAAAAAAGATAAAGACAGAGTAAGCAGTTCACTTACCAGAACACATGGGGGCTTTGGCACCATCATCAGACACATGATAGAAACTGAACGGATAAAAAGGATTACTATTTCTAGTAATGCAGTAGCCTAAAATATCCAAACAATTTATACGTACCACATCATTGGGAAGGCTCTGTAGGTCATCAAAAGGGGTTTCCAGTGTGTTGGTATCAACATTAAGAATCACCACATCTTCCAGGGCCATATTTCTAACTTTCTAAAAAAATGCCAAAGTCAGAAAAGGAGGGGGAGGGAAGTCAAATCTTATCCATAGACAATATCAATCATAACATAACATTCTGCTAACTACACTATTCCCCAAACACTTTAAAAGAAGCAAGTGGTTTCCTCCTATTCCTCACCACTTGTGTGTTTGTATGTGGTGTTTATTGTTTAACATTTGTTGTTTTTGTTTTTCCATTTCTTCAAATTAAATCCTTAACGTGCAGAAGGAAGTTTCTTAGCTTCCTGCGTACTGGGATTTCTGGAGGAATCATAATGTCCTTCTAGATCATTCAAGTAAGGAGGTATTTCAAGCTTTTCTAACATTCATTTACTTCTTGTTTCCCCTTTCAGGCCTGATTCAAAGCAAAACTTCTAGCCACATCAAGACTCAAAATACGTAATTTTTAAAAAATTCAGTATTTTGTTTAAATAGCAAACAAAGTTGGCTTTTCCAGTTGCTGAAGTGCTAGTAAGGCCAACCTTGGATCTGCGTTACCATCTCTGGCTTTGCCTTAGCACCTCCAACGCTTCCTCATTCACAAATGAGATTACATTTGAGCAAAATGGACAGTGTTCAAGATAAACTGAGTGAGAGGGAAGCTAGAATTCTTTTCTTCCTTAATACTAGGATTTCCAGGACACCACAAAAAATTACTAAATACTTCCAGGATTCTAACACAGGTCTCCTCACCCACAAGGCTTTGAGAAAAGCCCCACTACATGTTATTTCTTTTGGGTTGCTACCCAAATAATATGATGTCTATAAAGCCTTGTCTACACTGCCACTTACAACGCTGAAACCTTCTTCGCTCGGGGTGTGAAAAAACACCCCCCTGAGCAATGCAAGCTTCAGCGCTGTAAAGTGGCCGTGTACGTAGTGCTACAGTGCTGGGAGCTCTTCCCCTCACGGAGACTGTTTTATTACAGCACTGGGAGAGTGCCACAAAGCCTAACGTCACGGCAGCGCTTTAACATCAACTGTGTAGACATACCGTAAGAGCAGCAAACTCCACAGCAAACTGATGCTCAAATCTTAAACCAATCTTTGTAAGGCAAAACCAGACAGACTACATGGCCACATATATTTGGCTAAACTTATTTGCTAAGAAAGTGGATGTCTGAACATGCAAAAAATTGATAACTGATTAGGAAATTTAAGTCTAAGACTGCCCTTTGAACCTTTCAGAAATTTTACTGGGTTTTTCACTTCAAAGGCCTAGCTAGAGAGTTAGAGGAAGAACTTTGTGGGCTACAGAACTCAATTAGAAATTGTAAGTCTTCTGGACAGAGGAACAGAAGGGCTTCTGGAAACGAACACATGAGAGAACCATTACAAAGGGATGGAAATGATACAGATTTGGAACGTTGTTCCTGGAAGAAAAATCTTTTCATCTTTTTGTTTGTACACTTGGGCAAAAAAGGTTCTAAGCCCCAATGCACACAACCGCTTCTCAACAGTCAGCTGGAATGAGGTTTTTGACTCCGTTCCCAATCCCCAAGTGAAAGCACTGATTGCTGTGTGTTTAAGGTTACATTTCCTACAATGGTACACAGATGCACAATAGAAGAAAAGCACAGCCTCTTTTTGAAAAGAATAGCCCTTGGTAGCTTTTGCTGTTTAAGTACCCAAGAAGCAGAAGAATGCCAGATTTCATTTCCCCTCTTAAGCAAGATTAACCGCACTGCTGGTGGTTTCAATAATGGAATTTAAATATTCCCTTAATCAATTTTTCCATCCAACCTGGGAACTGTATCTACAGATACTTATATGTGAATTTAAAAACTAAGTGGAATATCCAAGTATCTTATTTTATTTATCTATATATTCACCAGATCCTGAGTTTGATCTTCTCTCTCCACCTACCTAGGCTGCCACCAGCCAAAGAAGCACGGTAATGGTCCTGAGCATGTTCTGATGAGGTATTCAGACAGCTGGATGAGAAAAATTAATAGTAATCTCAACCCACAATGTTATTTCTTTTGAAACATCCTCCTATGAAATCTGATCCACGTATACTACATTTCTACAGGGAACAAGAAATGTGAGTTCCTGTGAAGCACACATCCAACAATACTGGATCTTCTGAAAAGAAAACACAGAATCCAAAATGTTTCCAGATCAGGAAGACATGGACTGACACTTGAAATGCATTAGCAACTTGGACAGAGTCAAGAATGTATTCTATCACAAACCTGGCCTGTAAGGTAGAGATGGAGTGAGAAAAAGTATTGATGGCGAGAGGAAGCAAGAAAGGAGAATACATAATGAACTGTCTGTTCAAAACATAGATGGAGGAATTCATTTAAGTTTTTTTAATACCAGGAGACAGAGTCTGGCAATTCATTGGCTTGTTATCTCAGGACTTCGTGCAACTTCTGCCCTCCAAGTGGCAAGGAAAGAAAATAACATGCTTGTTAAAGGGTGACAGTGTCTAGTCAACTGCACAGTTTCAAACTAACAGACACCAAGAAGCAACTAATGAGATGGTTGATACTCAATATTCAAATGGTCAGAGTTCAGATACTGGTGTTACAGGGGGCGAAATACTGTAGATAGACCACCATACCAGAGACTACCCACTGGAGGGCTGATGGTATCATCCTGGAGGACATCAAACCACACTGGTACATGTGACAGGCAATTTCTAAGCTTGAGAGAGCTAGGTCTGGAACAGCAGTGGTTTTGTAGTTAGAGATTGGTGAAGGGATTTTGACATGGGGTAGACAGGCCCAGGACCTGCAAGGACAATGCCTGACAGTTGGAACCATTAACACCAAATTCACACACACACAAAAAAGGAACTATGAAGTATGGTAATAGAGGAAATTTTCCAATAAAATGGTAAACTATTATCTTCCCCGAACAGTGCCACTCTTTCGAATAAACAAACTGTCTGCTTTTAAAGTCTGCTATAGAAAACCCTTTTAATCTCACACCCTCCAACCATATAGAGCAGTCTCTAAAGCCAATTAATTAGGTCATTTATGCACAATCCCTCTAGGTAGCAAGAACAGGTCTCTAAAAAACTTTTTGTGGGGAAAGGGATGTTAAAAAAGTGAGGCTAGGGAACTAAATGTGTGTCAGCAAAAAGTAATACATGAAAGAAAGCATAAGAAAAATTTAGATCAACGTTTTTAAAAATGGGAACCTAAAGTTACGTTATTACAGGCAGCCGCAGGCACCTAAATAAGCAGCCTCAGCTTCAAAGGTGCTGGGCACCCAGAAGAGCCCATCAACTTCAAGAGTGGTGGTTAGGTGCTTACAATCAATCAATCCATCCATCAATAAAGCTCTTTATTTAGCGTACATCTACACTGTAAACCGTCCTGCCCGGCAGTGAGTCTCAGAGCCTGGGTCAAATGATGTTCCCACTTGCGGTGGACCTTAGTCTCTGAGACCCTCCCCTCTCCACTTTTCAAAGTGTGGGCTCCAGCCTGAGCTGGAATGTCTACACCACTATATTTAGTCCCGGGGTGTGAGCCTGAGTCACCTGACCGAGGTTCTGAGACTTGCTGCTACAGATATATGACTTCATCTTTTGTTCTGTTGTGGGTTTTTCATTTTTGGGGTTTTTTTTTTGCAGTGTAGATATACCCTTAGATGCCTAAGTCTGCACTTTGAACCCTAAAATTAAGCTTCTCTTTCTGAAGTTCCTGGCCTTAAATGGTATATTTAAGGCTAACTGCCTGCTGTGCTCAATGCCAAATTATAGCTAAAACACTCACACAATCCATTCAATTGCCACATACTATAAATAGATCACTATCTTCTGCACAGAACCCAACTTGGAGGTTGTTGTTGTTTTGCTAAAATATTTGCCATCAGATCTACAAACTAATTAAGTCTGATTTTAAGGGAAGACTATTCCATGTAATTCTTTCCTTAGAAAAGGAGCACAAGTCCTTCATGAAAAGCAAGATACTTTCCTCCCCACTCTCAGGAACCAAAAGGTCACTCAGTTGGCTTACATCTGATAAACTCTAAGGTAACCCAGGAGTCTTGATTCTCCTGGGAGTCAGGAAGCAGCAGACAAACTGATTTGCTCCTTCCTGCTTCAGAAAATTAAAAATCTCAGTTATACTCAGAGGATTCTTGAAAGCACCAACAAAAAATCTTTAGCAATGTGCTTAACCAAAGCCAGAAGCTTTTCAAAATTGAGCACCAGAAGGACAAGACAGAAGGAATTAAACCTCCTCTTGATTATCACAGGAGCAGCAGCAGTGACCTACACATACAAATTTGAACTTGCCAGTGGGTGTTTCTGTAACTTGGATGAAGAATCTATGGGTATGTCTACATTGCAATCATACACCCATCACTGGCCCATGTCAGCTGACTCGGGCTCACAGGGCCCAGGCAGTAGGGCTATAAAACTGCAGTGTAGACGTGCAGACACGGGCTGGAGCCGGGGCTCTGGGACCCTCACAGCATCCTGTAAAGCAGCATCCTTTCACAACAAATGTCTTAATAAAGGAAGATACATTACAACTCTGTGGGTACCTTAAAGACACTTCTGGATTGAGATACATGGTTGCTGCAGAATTATGTGAGTAGTTCTCTTCTAATGGTGGCATCCTTCAGCCCAGGGGGCAAGAGAGTGTGTCTGGGAATCAAAGCCACTTTTCATGTGAGAGCTCTCATAAAAGCCCCCAACTTGCAAATCCGCTTTTCACCTTAAATGCACCAAATTCCAAAAGGTACAACTAGCTTCAATTTATTAATAGTCTCATTGATTCTCCATCCCCATACCCTAATACCAAATGCATCATCAGTAAATCACAAAGAATAATATTCTATTCATCACAGCCGCCTAACTAGCTAACCAAAATATTGGAAACAATGCACTGCATGCTTAATAAAATGAAGTAGATGTATTAAATCAGTATTTTACGAACAGTACAGAGAAACAGAGAATAAGAGGAAAATATGACTAGAAATAGCTGCATAAACTCTGCAGCACACACAGTCATAGTATATTAGACAATTTGTGC